GCATGCAGGGGGGCTGGGACAACAGGGGTGGGGGTCAGGGGACTCATGTAGAGCCTCTCACACAGCGTGGGGTAGTGGGGGGGCAGTGGGGATTGTCCCCCTGCCCGCCAGCATCCAGTAAGTTCCGGGGGGGGAGGTTTCAAAGTGCTGGGAGCTGGGGCGGGCAGGGCAGCCATTGCTGGGCTGGGAGAGCAGGTGGGGGATGGGCCTGGCCTGGGTGATTCAGAGATTCAGCAGCAGCCGAATCTCTGAATCAGATCTGGCCGAATCGATTTGGGACAGTGATTCAAATCACAGAATCAAATCACCATTCCCCGAATTGGCCGAATCCGAATCTGAAGCGAATACTAGCCGCTTCGCACAGGCCTATTAAATACCGAGTTCTGAACCAGCCTCAGCATCATACTTCTGATTTGGTGATGCACTTCTCTGGAGCCACAACACAGGACAACACATTAAAGGCCATTTGAAACAGGAACAAAGATTAGTAGCAGAGCCTCACAGGTAACTCAATTTCAGTACCTCTGTAGGGATAAGCAGAAATCTCCTCTCTGGCCTACACAAAGATGATAGCAAGTCATTCTTTGCTTTCAACCACTAACCTGCAGATTGTCATCATCATGCAAGGTATACCTCTCACAAGTAGAAATTGCAATTGTGGGTGTGAACGAAGGCTTAAAGATTTCTCTATCAAAATGCCTCAATAGGGACAACTAAGTTATTCAAGGTATTACCTCAGGGAACCAGACAACAGACTGGGAGACCCAGCTTTGGATTTTGACTGTAGGCCTATAGAAGGCTGGGTATTCCAAGTAGTATGATCTGAGAGTGCTGGGGGAAGGTGTAAGCCTTCTCTCCAACTCTACATACTACTGCTTTAACAGTGGAGCAGCAGCTAAGTACCTCCCCAGCTACCAGAATGACTAGAATAGTTGCCAAGCGTGCTAATTGTTTTGACATTTGGTTCTAGCACCGTGTGCTTTTGGGTCATTGGACCAATTTCCTGTAACTCTTGCCATAACCAAAACTATCAGTCACAAAATAGAGCAAAGATGGTCAAGCCTTGCAAGGACATTCTCCGAGTTGTACAGAATGTCATTTTCCCAGTATTTTTCCAAACAGTTTACAGCGTCTTCCCCTCTCAGCGATTTCTCAAACTTTGCAAGCAAGCACAGAACTTCTCCCCTTCTCCAGCTCCAGCTGGAACACCTCCCTCCCCCACAACCTTATTCACCCTCCCCTTATTCATCTCACCTAATAAAGCATGCCTCTGAACTGGGAATGCAGAATCGCCCGAAGAGTCAAGAATGTGAACAAAGGCCAGAGCCTCACTCACATCAGTGCAGGCAAAAGAACTCACTCCTGAGTGCTTCTGCTAGGGTAGTACCAAATGTCCATACTGCCCCAACTTTACCAAAGCAAGCCTACCTCAGTACTTAGGATGGGTTTCCTACTACATGGAAGACATCAGAGCAGGCATTAGAAGGCTTCACGCATGATTACAAGTTCATTGCTCTCCCCAGGGAGAGTCTCTTCTCCTTCAGGTACCAACTCAGGGAGGGACTTTCAGATTCCTTAAGAGCAATAGACAGAACAACTTTTATCTTTTGTGGCTTTGCTGTCTCAGCTACAAGGCAGCAAGAAATCACTTCACTCCAGACTACATGCTGTATTGCAGGCAGCTGTGGGATAATTTCCTCTCCAGTCTGCAGGAGAATATGTAAAAGGCAGTCTTTTTCTTTCAAACTTAAAGCCTCCCACATTCAATTTTTAAAAAGCATCACTAGGTAAGGCTGGGTGAATAGCTGGTTTGTCTCATCTGTTGCTTAACCAAAATAACTGAAAAAAATCAGTTGACTGGAGCCTACATTCAAATCCCTCCTCTGCCTGGGGGGAATCAAATCCCCATCACCAATCACCCCAGGAAGTGCTCTAACCACAGGCTACTGAGTCAATCCCATACAAAGGGGCATAGGCAATTTGCCCAAAGTAGTATGCCCTGCCTCTCCACAGGACTAATTAGTCCCTGGAGAATGCAAAAGAAATGGAGAATAACGCAGATACCAGAAGCAACACCGCTACCTCTGCCTAGCATTGTGCCATGTAGATGGCCCAGTCTCATTTTTAGAAGTGACTTTGCCTTTAGTGGGACTCTTACCCATTGATTTATTCATTTAAAGTAGTGTGTAGGGACACTTGCCCTCCTCCCTTTTTTTCTCCCCAGGTCCCAATGCCCTTGGTATCTGAAAACACCTTCTGGATCAAGCCTATAAAGCAGTGGCTCTCAACCTTCTGGCATCAAGGCACCGCACCACCACGTTTGTGAATGCAGCAGCACCCTTCAGCTTAACCAAGCTCTTCTCAGCTGGGTTTTGCTGCCAAGAAAGGCTGTGAAACTGTGGTGAAATGGCTTCTACTGCACAGCCAGCTTGGGAAGGGCTGCATGTGTCATGTGCCTACACTCCTCCTGCATTAGGGCTCAGATCAGCCTAAAGCAGGCAGGAGTCCCCTTCGTAGTGCAGCTCTTTCTGGTCCACCAACCCCAAAGCTCCTGGCAGAAACAGAAACAGAAGCAGACAGGACAGTTCTACCCACATCTGTTGCTGGGAGGAATGTAGTAGAGGTTATCGGGGGGGCGGGGGGGCGGGGGGGAGGACCAGAAAGAGCTATACCACATGAAGCAATTTTGCTGCTTACTTTAGGCTGATTATAGAGCTCTAAAGCAGGGGGAGCATGCGGGGCAGTTTTACATAGTATCGTGGAACCCCTGATGAGCTTCCATGGTAGCCCAGTTGAGAACAACTGCTATAAAGGGACTTAAGGATTACCTAGTTTCTGGATCCTGACTGGGTTCAGGTATTTAAACTGGGAGCCAAGCTGTTGAGCTTCATTCAATTCAGAGAGTTTCAGATAGGTGAAGTATAACTTGGAATGCTTGGAAAACTTGGGAGATGCCTATGGAGTGTAGAAGCAGTGCCTAAACCTGCAAGTTATAAGCAACAGTTGAATGGGGATTTCCAGAACTAGAGTTTTGAATTGGTCAATTCAGTCAAAGTCCCACTTAAGACACCTAGGTCTTTTTTTGGATCTGGGCCTTCGACACTAGTTTGCTTAGTGTTGAAAGGCTACATAGCTTCTTTGAAAAATATAGACCTAAATGCCTTGATTTGGAATGCTATGTTTAGTATTGTTCACATTAAAACAATGCCACTACAACTTTTAAAGATGTCTCCTAGAAGGCTTGATACTATTTTCAACTCAAAGTTGTTCCAAGGTCAACAGTGTTATTCCATATTCACTTTTGTATAAAAGTGATTTCCTTTTGCAATCATTTACCATGCTCTGCAACTCTCACAATGAATTTATTTGAAGCCTTTCATCAATAAAAATGTAAAGTTTGCCAAAGACATGCACATGGCTACTTTACTTACCATGATATAAATTTTCAATAGGCAGTAAGACCTGATACATGGTCTCACTAACTGAGATTAATTTAAACATGCTACCAAGTTTCATTTTTTTAGAACCACACAAAGTTTTTAGACAGCTAGATTTCAGTTCAGGTTTTATTTGTGTACAAAAATATATTATAATGGAAAAAAGCATTAAAGTTTCCAACTATATAAACTTACAAATATATTTTCAAAACAGCAATTTTAAATTAACATTTCAGCTATATTTTTGAGAAAAAATATAGCACCAGCACATTTAAGTTATCAGATCCTGATTGCTGCAAATACAACTGATGTAATCAGTTAATGCTTATGGAAGATGACTAGTTATGTTTAGAATATGAAAATCTTAGATAGCAAAGTAGACAGTTATCAGATCTGGCAGCAACTTTTCAGTAATCAGTATCACCAGGTCTTCATTGCATCTTTCTGCAAGGAAATATTTGTAGGCAGGCATGATGCCAAAAATCCCTTTGCTTCACATACCTGTGAATATGAAAAAAGAAAGTTTGCATTTCCTTGACATCAAAATATTTTATTTGACGCTTGGTTTCTTAAACTGTCTGATCTTTAATCAACATAAGAGGAGAGGGCCAAAAAACAAAGAAACAAACCAAAGGCTTATATCACTGCACTAATACGAGTCACAATCATCAAAAGACACCTGTGCAGTCAAGTCTAACCTGTTGTATAACTCCCAAGTATGTAATAACTGCTGAAAAAAATGTTTCAGAAATGGTAGATTGAAGCTGGACTTTTTCCCAGCATTACAAAGTCTAAGATAAAGTCAGCATATCAAAGCAGAGGTGGTGACATGGTGAATAAATGAGACTGTGTTGAAATAACCATGACTCATGTGCCAATACACTACACTGCAACACTGCCAGGTGTTAGTCTCCTTCTCCACCTTAGATTTGGCTTGCGTAAGGAAATGGACAATGGGCTCAATGTGCAACAGGCTGCCTCACAAGGACACCTGAAACACAGCTGCGAAAGACCTAGCAGCAAAAACTAGAAGACCGTAGTTGACTCTGGTTTCTGAGTTCTGCGTTCAAAGAAAACAAGCAAGAAAGTTAATGGAAAAAAGTAAAGTGAGGATGCATAAAAATGCTGTTCCTCTGCACAGAGAACACTTAGTCCTGTCGGATTGTCCCCATTCTTTAAAGTAGCACACAAGAAGAATCTACTTACTTGCTAATGTCCTGTCAAGATCAGCAATAAAGTCTTCCAGTTCTTTTGTATCTCCTAACTTTGCTGAAAAATAAGAGAATGAGCTTTTATGCGAGTCTTTGTGCCAACACAAGTAAAGGCCATTAGCAGGCACTTTAATTTTGCAGGAGAAGGGGAGGGAGAATATTTATAATTCTGGCCTAAAATTGCAATTCCTTTATTTTAGGGAGTTATTCATATAATGATACTGATGCAACCCTTCTCTTCTGTTTCTTTAAAGTTTAAAAGTTAGAGATGGAAAAACCTATTAGATCATCTACTCCAGTTATTTCCAAACTCATAGCTCATAGGCAATATGTTGCCAGCAAGATCCTCTGACATTGCTGTCTCTAACAGTGGCAAGAGTGGATGCTTTAAGAGGAAAGCCTTGAACTGGGCATATCTAGAGCCACAGGAAATATGGGGGATGGACTAGATGACTTTAAGATCACTTCCAACCACTACTTCTCAATGATTCTATGATTTTGATTTCCACATATGCATGTTTCTTCAGGTTGACAGGGACAGTAAAGCATGATATTGCATGATGCATGTTGCTTCCTTGGTCTTCTAGTCCTGTATGTCATTTAAACAAAGGGGGCACATCTACATGTGTTTTAATGTGCTCTAGTTAATGTTAAATCTAGTACCTCTGGGTGTTTATACACGTGCTCGGGGGAGGGGGGAGGCACATTAAGTAAAGCTCCTGAAGCATCTTGTGTATCAGCATCCCTGCGCTTAAAAATGGTGGCAGGGTTAGCTTTAGTTAAAGTCAAGCTTTAGTTAAAGTGCCCCCATTGCCATTTTGGTCTGTGGGATCCTTGTAACTCAGAACACCTCCAAAGCATTCTCAGTTATAGTGGGGAGCTGCACTTCTGTCTGCACCTCCTAGTTAACTCTGCAGGAAGGCATTTAGTGAATTAGACCACAGCTTAACTGAGCCAAGAACAAGTTTTTCCTTTAGTTCTGTTGAATCACTGCTGAGTTTGAAGGTCATACTATGAATAACTGATCATAGTACCATATATGTTGTACTTATATGGTTGCTGCTTTTCATATCAATACCAGGAAGACTCATATTCTGATGTACTCAGTGCAAAAATGTCTGAGCTAAGCATATCAGCAAGGATAACAAGTCCAGGTAGAGCACCATGCTAATGAGGTTATACTGCACCATGTCATGTAAATAAACCCTTAAGGATTTGTTCTAATCTTACATATGATCTTTGCTTATCTTACACCACTCAGACTTAAGAAAAAATCTGAATACTTGAAATAAAACTGTTATGAAGACTTACCTTTGCAAGGGGTTACTGCTGGAGATGGTAGAGTTGGAGTAGATATTGTTGGAGAATTAAGCTTTTCATCACTAAAGCTGAAACTGTTTCTGTAGAGTGAATCTGCACCTATAAGAAACATTTGTAGGCATTAGAAACTAAAATGAAAAATCCAAGGCAAGTTTATGAGAAGAAAAAAAAAGAAAAAGGAAACATTTCTAATCTCAGGCAAAAAGTTTCTTGATCAAGCAGAAAGCAGAGACTTTGAAGCCAAAGGTAATATCAGGTCAACTGGTATTCAGCAAGTGTTGTTTCAGTGTCTACTGAGAGAAAGCAACTGTTCTCAGAAGCAGTAACTCATCACTTACATATCCCCATTGAAGCAGTAGTTACTCTACAACAGTTAAATTTACCCTGCTGTGCCTTTTCTGATTCACAATGGTCAGCCATAAAAACATAAGAAGTGCCATACTCAGTCACACCAATGGCCCATCTAGCTCAGTATCCTGTCTCCAACAGTGGCAAAAGTGAACGTGTTAGAGGAAGAGCCTTGAACCAGGTGTGATCTATCCTTTGCTCTCCCTGCCATCCACCATAATTGATTTAGAGATCTCAGAGGATACCTCTGACTGTTTTGTTTAACAGCTAACAGATCTATGAATTTGTCTAGTCTGTTTTTGAACCTGGCTATACTATCTGTGTCTACAACCTCCTGTAGTAACAAATTCAAACATTACCACAGGAGATTGTAGAAGCAGATACAAACTCATTACCATGGAAAGCAAATTGTATAAACTGGAACTGTTTTCAAAATAGCATGAAAAAAACATCCATAGGCGATGCATCAGGGAGCCATTGGGGGTGGGGCTCATACCTCCCCATATTTCTATGCCAACAGTGGGGAGTGGGGTATGGGGCTGCAGTCTGGCCAGAGCCAGGGCCTGGTAGCGACAGGGATGGCAGCGGTGGTGCGATTTCTGCACCAACAGCAGGGTGTGGGTCTGTAGCCCAGCTGAACCTGACATCCAGCAGCAGCAGGGGCGGCAGTGCAGAGTTGTGGCCCCCCGCTGGCAGCACTTACTTGTCGCCCATGAGAACACCTTACACAGAAGCTGTAGAACAGACACAGCCCCATCCAAGTAGGGTCATCATCACAGTATACCAATGATATTACAGTACCAACCTGAATAAGCACAGCATGGAAGAAAGGCAGGTTCATAATGTTGTTGAGAACAAAAAACCTACCCTACTGCCACTAGCCATTCTTTGCATCAGCCACTTGTGACACTTTACATCAGGGGTGGGCAATTTTTTCAGTTGGAGGGTCACTTAAGTTTTGGTGAACTGTCGAGGGCTGCATGGGTAGGGCCCATGGGAGCCCCCCTCAAACAACACCCCTGCCCCCCATTGCACACAGCCCCTGCCACCAGCAGCAGCAGCAGACAGTAAGGCCTTGGGGTGCTCACAGCCCGCAGCAGGTGAAAAGCCCGGTGGTGCACAGTCCTGGAGAGCCCCAGGACTGCACGTGGCTGGGCCGCCAGCAGGGAGACCGGGGAGCTGGCCCAGGTCCATAGAGCCCCTGCCAACCCAGGCTCCACGCTCCTGCCGCCCTGCCCTGGGCCCCGTCAGCCCTAGCCCCAGGGCACCAGTGCAAGCCCCATGCTCCCGCCCACCCCCTCACCCCCACTTTCCCCCCGGCCCCACCCACTGCTCTCCCCCTCAGTCTCCCACCCACCTGCCACTTTCCCCACCCCTGCCTGCCCCCCATTTTCCCTACTTCTCCTCCCACCCACCGCTCTGGCACCACGCAGTTCCCAGTTGCATGGCCAGACTGCAGGATGCAGCAGGTGCCAACCCAGCCCACCCCCCATGGTTCCCAGCTGGCTCCTGCTGTGCTGTCCAGTCCTGGCCATGCACCAGGAACTGCATGGTGCTGGAACCAGCCCGGTATGGCCATCACTGCATGGAGCCAGTCAGAAATTGTGAGGACTGGGCTGTGCCATCAGGGAGAGGGGGGAGCTGGCTTGGGTCCATACAGCCCCTGCCAGCCCAGGCTCCAAGCTCCTACCACCTTGCCCTGGGCCCCCACCAGCCCTGGCCGTGGGGCACCAGCGCAGGCCCTGCACTCCCGCCCAACTGTCGCTGCACTCCCACCTGCCTGCTGCTGCTGCCACTGCCATTTTCCCACCTTCCCTCCCGCTGCCACTGTTTCTCCTCACCCCCCACCCCCATCCATCTGCTGCTCTGGCAGCATGCGGCTCCCGCCTGCATGGCTGGGACTGCAGAACACAGCAGAAGCCAGCTGGAAACTATGGACTGGGGTGTTCACCAGTGACTCTCCCTTCCCCCCTGTTCTTATCTGACTTTGCACTCTTGGGCGAAGGGAGGCAGGGAACAGCTCCATGGTCGCCTGATTGGGAACAGCCCCATGGTTGCCCCATGGGGAACAGCCCCATGCTAGGCAGAGGCTTCTGATTGGGGGTGGGGCAGGGCTGGGCAGGCCTTGCTACAGCTGCCCTAGGGTCCTGCCGCTGGCACCTCACCAGCTTTCAGATAATAATTCATCTTCTAAACTTTTAGGGGCCCCACGGGCCAGATAGAATGGCCTAGTGGGCCGGATCCCACCTGCGGGCTGTATTTTGCCCGCCCCTGCTTTACATGATCCAGTCAGAATAGGGGTGTAAGATTTTTTGTTATTCTGGCTGCTGACTCAAACTTCCTCTCTCTCTCCCTAATCTACTCTACCTCTCTTCAAAGCCCATCTGAAACATCTCCTCCACCTGTCTACATCTCCTTATAATCTCTCTCTGTGCCTTTCTAAATCTTGTATCCTGGAATTAAAATTGTTTTCAATTCAATATCATTTTATTCCACAGAGCTCTGAAGTGCCAGTCCATAAGAAGTGTCCCTACACCACAAAAGGTATTCTACTTTCTGATTTTAGATGATCCTTATGGGAAAGCTGAATGTATTACGGGAAATCAAAAGGTCCAAGTCTTGAATAAATATTTTTGGGCTGGGATGGCACGCAAAGCTTTTATGTTTCAACAACACTAACACTTCTCTGAGGTCCATGGAAATGTGCCTCTTTTCTTAAGCACAGTGCCATGATGTCCGGTGCATGCAAAGTATTAGTCACAGCTCCACTGAGCAAGAGAGTGGTTATTGTGTAAAAGATACTAAGAGCTGCTAGTTCCCACATTATGAGCCAACAACCTGGAAAATGTGGTTCCACAAAACTAACGTTTTCATCTGAATGCAGTAGTGAACTCCATTTATTTGGGACATCTCCAAAGAGGCATATTTAAACTTCCTCCAACTTAAGGGCAATAGTTACTGCATAGTAAGGATGGTAATTCTGCTTAATGGGGATGCCTACAGGTAGATTAATGTCAAGGCATGCTCTCTGCACCTCTCATGGTAGCTTTCAGTCCCTCCTGTACTGTTATACATAGGGAAAATGCAGTGTGCTTCACCCTGGCATATTTGTTTGCTCTTCATGCCCTAGCTACACATGGCCAGCTGCAGCACCAGGTGTCTCACAGCTGCCATTGCATGGCAAACAGCCAACTCGGTTCCTACTTCAGAGCAGACAGGGTCTCCTATCAACTCCACAGGCCTTGAATGGCATCTAGTAAGTGGGAGTGCTTTTGATTTAATGAAAACCGTCCTCTGAGCTTCCTCATTCATCTCTAGCCCACTACAGGGAAGTTATATTTAAACCAAAGCATATGAAGTCACAAGCTGTAATTCTGTTTATAGGTAACTGGAGTAGTGTGCCCCTTTTGCTGAATACTTCCAGAGGCAACTTGAGTAAATTAAGCAAGATGTAGTCAGTTGGTAAGAAGATCTAGAGCTATTCACACAGTAATTTTTATTTATAAATATAGAATCACAGGAATGTATTGCTGGAAAGGACCTCCAGAGATCATCCACAGTCTAGCCCTTGCTCTGACCCAGATCTAGTACACTGTGAGAATCCCTGGCAGATATCTTTAACCTTTTTTTAAAAACCTTCAGTGAAGGAGATTCTACAGCCTCCCAAATGCCTCCACATTACTAGAACCTGAATCAATCTAAATCTTTGCTGCAAATTAAACTGACTTCTTTTTGTCCTTCCCTTACTGGCCATTGGAAAAACAATTGCTCACTGTCCCCTCTATAAGAGCCTTTTACTAACTGGAAGACTTCTGTCCAATGACCCTTCCTCCTTTGAGACTTCTTTCTTCTAGGGAACACATGCACAATTCCTCCAACTTGTCCTCACCAGACATTCTTGCTGCTCTCCCCAGGTTGTCCAAATCTTTGAAAAGTTGGGTGATCAGAACTGAATGCTGTATTCCACTGTGGAATATCAGTAATTATCTCTCAGGGCTGGGTAGAGTGTAATAATTATCTCCCATGTCTTGTAAGAGAGACTACTAAAATCTCTACAATGAGATTTGCCTTTTTTGCTGTTGACCCATACTTAAATTGTGATCCATTATAAAGTAATCCTCCTCCCTCTCCAAGATGCTTTCCTGCCAGATTCCTGCCTAACCAAATAAAACTCAAATACACACAGGACTGAATTCTCAACAACCCTCTTTAACTGAAAAATATAAATATAACTCTTTGGTTTTCTCTGTTCCCATCCTCCAAGCAGATCATAATACTAAACATCCATTTGGCAATTTGTACCTAATATGGCAGGTCAAATACAACTAAATATACAACTTCATGGAAATGTATTGGTTTCTATAAAAGTTTTACTGGAATATCATTCAGGTCAGTGAAAGAGGAGAGAGACAGCTTTTCCTAAAACACTTAGACATTCTTTTCATTCCAAAACAGAACATAACCAAATGTCAAAGTCTTGTCAACTGCCACAAATCAGAACTGTCACTTTCTCATCAGCTCTAATACTAATATATAAGGGGTTTCACCAATAAGATTTTGTTTTTTATTATTCTCAGAAAGTAAAAAAAATATTCTTGGCCAGGTGAAGACACTTCTCCTTCCACGAAATTACTTTGGCAAATGTAAGCAAAAGCATCATCAGAAGAAAAAAAGGAGGAGGAAGTAGTAGTAGAGGAAAAAGAGGAGGAGGAAGATGAGAATACTTCTGATGGCCTCTGTTACAAACTATC